GTTACTCTGTGTAAACCTCTTAGAAGAGGGCCTAGCTCATGGTTAGAGCCATGTAAGTGTTAGCTATTAAAATAATAATTATTATTTCTCAGTCTGTCTGCCTATCTTAAGTGTCTCTGAGTCTCACTGTTAGTCTGCATGACTCTAACCCTGCCCCCGGTTTGTCTCTCTGGGCATCTCTCCCTGCCCTGACCCCCGCCCCCACACATCCACTCTTCCTTGCTTCATCTTTGTCCTCCATCTCCACCCTCTTTGGGCCAGCCTCACCTCTCTGCAGGACTCCCCGCCCCCCCCCTGGCCAGGGCTGATTCACTGTGGCCTCCTGGCCTGTGGGACCTGCAGGTTGGCTTCCCAAGATGCTGCCCTCAGGCCAGACCTGCCCAGCCCCCCAACGCTGTCCGTTGCGCCCCCGCAGGGCCCGGCCAGATGTCAGCTGCAGTTATGAGCATGGGCGGGAGACGCAGGCCTGGCAGCGTGCCCGCCAGACTCAGCGGCCAGCCGCTGGAATCTCCCTTGAGCCTGGGGTGGGGTTAGGGGAGCAGTTCAAGCAAGAGGAGGAGGGGAGGGAGCACCCAGGGGTCACAAGGACCCTCCAAAGATGGGGATACCCCCAGCTTCTCATGGGACCTTCCTCCCTAACTTCGCTGCTCTGCTGGACTTCCCCCTGCCCCCACAAGTTCAGTTTCTCTTTTGCCTCTTTCATTTTCCTTCTCTCCCTCACACTGAGTGTGCTCTCCCCCTGCCCTATAAAGTCAGCCTAGCCCCTCAGCCTCTCTCTACCCTAAAGAAACCTCCATCCCCCCTGAAGATAGAGACTGATCTTTCACCTCTGGTTCTCTTGGCTCACATTCTGCTTGGAAGTCCCACTTTAAGTCTAACTAGGAGTCTCACCATCTAAACCTCCATATAGTGCTGGGGGAGGGGCACTGAGTTCCCTCAGATTCTCTCCCTTTGGATTTTCTGGCCTCCTCTGACTGAAGGAGACACCCGAAGGGGGAGGGACCCTCCCCCCCATTTCTGGATGGTCTGAATTCTGGATGGTTGACGGACCCCTAGACTAAAATAGGAGTAGGGCCCCTAGCCAACTGGTGTGAGGGAAGGAGCACCCCAGCCGCTAGCGATGTGGGGGGAAAGGCCCAGACCTCCTGCTGTAAAGGAAGGGGTACCCCACCCGAGGAAGGAGGCAGTCGTGCCAGCCCGCCTCGGCGCCGGGGGCGCCTCGAGGCATTGGCCCGCCCCTCCGCGCCCTGTCGGGCCGGGGGCGAAGTCCGACCCAGGCCCGCGGGCAGGCGGGGACCTGCCAGGCTGGGTCGGGCCGGGCTCGGCAGGACGCAGCCCCAGAGCAGCTGGGTGGGGCTCAGCGAGGCGGCCGTGGGGGCCTCGGGGGCGGCGGCGGGGCTGGTCGGGACTAGCCGTCCGGGGGCCCGGGCGCGCCCTGGGACCTGGCAGATACCCGGGCTCCCGGGTCCTGGCTCAAGGCCCCGGGACGGCGCTGGTCCCACCCCTTCCTGTGTCCTTATTTGGGCGCGGGAGAGAGCCTCCCGGGGCCGCCCCGCCCCCAGTTCAGCCCGCGGACTCCGGCCTGTTGTCATGGCGACCAGGCCCGCTCCCCCGTACGTCCCCCTCGGTCGGACTAATGGAATCGTCCCCGGACTGCCAGCCTCCGCGATCGCCAGCGGGTGCCGCGGGCTGAACCATTGCTGGTAGAGGGGTACAGTGATTGGAGGCCTCTACGGCTGAACGTGTTCTGTGCACCCTTGGCCTCCGCCGGGGTCGCACGTCCATGTTCCTCTTCTGAGGCAAGGAACCCGACCGGACCCAGGGCGGGGCACAGAGTCCCGGAGGATCGGAGTGACGGAGACAGGGCCGGGCTCCTTCCCCGGGGGCTGTTGCCACACTTCCTGCCGCGGCGCTCTTTCCCCAGCCTGTTTCTAAGGAAGGAGTGGGGTTGGGCGACCGCGCCCCGGCCGTCGGGGTAGGTACATGCACCAGGAGTCGACGCGGTGTTGGTCAAGCCCCGAGTCACTGGGGGAGAGCTTTGAGATGGGAGCAAAGTATACAGGCGCCTAGAAGTCACCCATAAGAGGGGGTGCCAATCATGGAAGGTCCAGTAGTCCAAATCCCCAGGATCCTCAAAAATCCCTCCTCTCAAGTCCCAGCTGGAAGACCCTGTGTCATTATCATCTCAGCTCTTAAGGTGTGTCCCGACTCTTTTAACTCTCCTTTATCAGGGCTTTGCAGATGACCCCAGTGACTCCCAACCTTTAACCCTAACCCCATCTTCTCTCCCCATCTTTTCCCCAGTATACCCCGGAATAATCACTTTCTTCATATCTATACCCCCTCCCCCCCATTCCTTTCCATTATGGAGGCCCTCAGTCTCTCTCATGAACTTCAGGACCCCTACTCATTTTTTGAGTAATCTCCTCCCTTCACCCTTTTGATTCCCCACCCCCTCACTTTTCCTGGATTCAGTCCCTCCAGTAAAAGTTCAAGTCCTTAACTACTCTGTACTCAGGACCCCCACACAATTACTGAATCAGGTATTTCCTTACCCCTCCTTCATTTACCCAGGCTAACCCTACTGTCTTACCTCTGCGGGGTCTCCCAGTGTATAATCAGCCCTCCAACCCCTCCGATACTCGGAGTCCCTCAGGCCTTTTCGTGTGCACCCTGTAGGACCCTCCCCCCGCGCCCCCCCAGACACACTTGCTTTGTATCGGTTCCTCGTATCCAGGGGAATCATCGCCTTCCCTGGAGTCCCTCCCCGTGTCTTGGACCAGCACCCCCTTCTTCGCACACCCCAGAGTCCCCCGAGCCCCTCCCCCTGCAGCCGCGCCGAGCCACCCAGCCCGTGGCCGCTGTTTACAAGGACACGCGCTTCCTGACAGTGACGCGAGCCGCCTCCTCCCCTTCCCCACGCTGGAGGAGGGGGGCGCGGGGGCCCGGCTCGCGAGAGGACCAATCGGAGCGCACTTCCGTAGCTGACAATAGCCGTATAAAGGCGTGTGGCTCAGGCTGAGCTGCCGGGACCTTGAGCGCGGCCAGGCCAGAATCGGAGTCAGCGGGGATCGGGGAGCAGGGGGAAGCGACACCAGGAAAGCGAGCGCACCAGACAGGGCAGAAGGGCTCGAGAAGCCGCACGGAGCTTCCGCGTACAGCCGCCGACCGGCCTCTCCCTGCCGGTGCCAGCTCCTGGGATCGCGCGTCCAGATACTGGTCCAGCCACTACCGTCGCGGACAGAGCGCCGCTCGCCGCAGCGAGGCCCGGGGCGGCCCCGCAGGGACCCCCCCAGACCGCCTGGGCCGCCCGGATGTGCACTAAAATGGAACAGCCCTTCTACCACGACGACTCATACGCAGCAGCGGGATACGGCCGGGCTCCGGGCGGCCTTTCTCTACACGACTACAAACTCCTGAAACCCAGCCTGGCGCTCAACCTGGCCGACCCCTACCGAAGTCTCAAAGCACCCGGGGCGCGGGGCCCGGGACCAGAGGGCAGCGGTGGCAGCAGCTACTTTTCCGGCCAGGGCTCGGACACAGGCGCATCGCTCAAGCTTGCCTCATCGGAGCTGGAGCGCCTGATCGTCCCCAACAGCAACGGAGTGATCACGACGACACCCACGCCTCCGGGACAGTACTTTTACCCCCGCGGGGGAGGCAGCGGCGGAGGTGCGGGGGGCGCCGGGGGCGGTGTCACCGAGGAGCAGGAGGGCTTCGCCGACGGCTTTGTCAAAGCCTTGGACGACCTGCACAAGATGAACCACGTGACGCCCCCCAACGTGTCCCTGGGCGCCAGCTCGGGGCCCCCGGCTGGGCCCGGGGGCGTCTACGCCGGCCCGGAGCCTCCTCCAGTCTACACCAACCTCAGCAGCTATTCCCCAGCCTCTGCGCCCTCTGGAGGCGCCGGGGCCGCCGTCGGGACTGGGAGCTCGTACCCGACGGCCACCATCAGCTACCTCCCACACGCACCACCCTTCGCTGGAGGCCACCCGGCGCAACTGGGCCTGGGCCGAGCAGCCTCCACCTTCAAGGAGGAACCGCAGACGGTGCCTGAGGCGCGCAGCCGCGACGCCACGCCACCGGTGTCCCCCATCAATATGGAAGACCAGGAGCGCATCAAAGTGGAGCGCAAGCGGCTGCGGAACCGGCTGGCGGCGACCAAATGCCGGAAGCGGAAGCTGGAGCGCATCGCGCGCCTGGAGGACAAGGTGAAGACACTCAAGGCCGAGAACGCGGGGCTGTCGAGCACTGCTGGGCTCCTCCGGGAGCAGGTGGCCCAGCTCAAACAGAAGGTCATGACCCACGTCAGCAACGGCTGCCAGCTGCTGCTCGGGGTCAAGGGACACGCCTTCTGAGCGTCCCGCGTACGGACATTCCCCCAGTCTGGACGACTGGGCGCACGCCTCCCAAGGGGCGAGGGGGCAGGCGGTGGGCACTGGCCCCCGCGGCACCGCAAACCACACTGGACTCCTGCCCGCCCGCTCTGCGCCCGGTCCTTCCACCTCGACGTTTACAAGCCCCCTTCCACGTTTTTTTGTATTTTTTTTTTTTCTGCTGGAAACAGACTCGATTCATATTGAATATAATATATTTGTGTATTTAACAGGGAGGGGAGGAGGGGGCGATCGCGGCGGAGCTGGCCCCGCCGCCCGGTACTCAAGCCCGCGGGGACACTGGGGAAGGGACCCCCGCCCCCTGCCCTCCCCCTCTGCACCGTACTGTGGATAAGAAACACGCACTTGGTCTCTAAAGAGTTTATTTTAAGATGTGTTTGTGTGTGTGTGTGTTTGTTGTTCCGACTTTTTATTGAATCTATTTAAGTAAAAAAAAAAAAATGGTTCTTTATTAATTTCTGTTGTCTTTTTTTCCAAGCCGGGAGGGAGGAGGGAGGAGAATAGTGGGCTGCCCCCACCCCACTCCTGTTTGTGACTCGGTCCGGTACCTGTATCCTCCTCACCAGCTCTACCTAAGCATCCTGCACTCGTAGGATGGTAGTCCAGGCGTCCAATCCTTCTCTTGTCCCCTGATCTCTGGGGTTGGAAGGTCCAGGGCGGGGACGCTGTCCATCCGCCCATCACCAGGGGGCAGGATGCCTGGGGCTAGACGCGCATTGCGCGGGCGCAGCCCCGCCCAGGTGCGCGCGCTGGGGCTTTCCCCGCTGACGCAGCGGAAGCGCTGCCCCTACATGGGCCGATTCTGTCCAGTGACGCGACGGCGGTCTCCGGGCAGATTCCGGGAATCCCCTCCCCCGCTCTGCCCGGCAGGGCTGCGGCGCCGGGAAGGGGGCCGGGATTTTCCCAGGCAGGCGGCTGCCGGGGCCCGGAAAGCCCCAGGCCTGGGTCCAGAGCGTCCGCGGTGGGAGGGCCATACTCCTGGGTCCCGGAGCCAACCCAGAGACTGCCCCATCGGGTTGGCGTCCCGGCCCCGCCGCGCCCACGCGCGCTCCGTCTGACCTGACCTGGGCGGGGGGTTGCTGCAGCCTTCGTTGCCGCCGCGGTACCCCCACCCCTGCCAGGAAGGGCGGCGCCCGCCTGCCAATTTCCCCTCCCGGGTGCCAGGTTGGGAGCAGGGCGACTGCCAGGTCTGGTCCTGCCGGGGCGGCTGCTTGGGCGGCCGGGCGCCGTCGTCGCCGCCGCCGCCGCCCTCTCGCGGGACGCCCGCCCCCGCAGCTGGGAAAGGTGGGAGGGCTGCTGGTACGTCCGCAGGGGGTCTAGCTGGCTTCGGAGCTGGAAGCCCCCAGAACAGCGGAGAAAAACACAGGCTGAGAAACCGCAGGGGTGGGGTGGGCAGAACAGACAATTCATTAATTCATTTATGAACCTTGGAGACACTGCCTGGACCGTGGCAGACAGACAATAAACAAACATGATTCGGAGATGGTGGTAAGTGCTAGCAAGGGAAAAAAACAGGTCAAAGGAGGAGTGATGGGGCAGGGGAGGTGAGCTGCTTTGGAGAATGGATTGGAAACGTGGACCTTTAATGATGAGACTTTTCATTTTTAAAGCCAGGTCCTGGGACAACAACGTTCTGGGCAAGAGGGAACAGTACGTGCAAAGTTCCCGTGGCCAGAACAAGATCAGTCTGTTAAAGAACAGCAAGAAATCATTGTGTGCCTGGATTCAAGTGAACCAAGAGTGGGTAGATGAGGTCAGGGAAATCCATGGACGGCCTTGGGGAAGGACTGTAGATAAAATTCCAAGGCCCAGATGAGTGTTTTGGAGGGTTAATAATCTAGATAGCAATCCTGTGGAAGGAAATGGGGGTTCAGAATGGCAAAACCACTTGCACAGCATCAAACTGCACTCTTGGGAACATTCTGGCTCCTAATACCTGCCTCCCAGCCTAATGGTCATCCTTCCTCCTCAGGAGCAGGTGGGCAACCCTTCCAACCTGGAGTGGGCCAGAGCTTACAACAGGGCCTGTACACGGAGCTCAAGCTCCCACTCCCGGTTCTGCTCTTAGGACTGGGTCACCCCTCCTTTCTTCCCGCCCAGGGACAGTCCTAATAACTACTAACTGGGCCCCAAGCTTCACATACTGTGTTGCATTTAATGTGCATGGTGATGTTGAGTTAGTTGTCTTTATTCTTATCTGACTGTTGAACAGACCCAGGAAAAATCACAGCTCTTGAATGGTATTTGAACACAGGCTGGCTGATGGCAAAGAGTGGGTGTTGTCCTGTGTGGTCAGGTTTTAGGACACAGGCCATCCTGGGGCTTGCTCCCAGCAAGGGGCCAACAGCCTACCCGCACTCCCCCCAAAGTACCCTCTGGTCAAGGAGAAAGAGGAAGCAGTGAGCATGAGGTAAGGCTCCCACCTTGTGGTGAAAATAAGTAACTACAGGGTCAATTTCCCAGGGAGAAGGGGCGGAGTTAGCAAGGACACCAGGACAGACCACACAGATGGAAACTCATGTCTGTCCTAATACTTTATTGGTCACCTCTAGGCCTGTGCCCAGCTAGATGGGTCCAAGGAGGGGCTCACAATTCACCAATTCCCAGTGGGGAGAATGAGAAGGCCCTGGCCAAGCCCTCCAGGGTCATGGACTATGGTGTTTGAAGGGGCGAGTCTGGCCTTTCCTGGGTCAGCAATGGGGTATCCAGGTAGAGGCGCAGGTGGAGGCCAACAGCCCAGGCTTTCCACCTGTCTGCAGTCTAGTTGTGTTTGGAGAAGTATTCCTTGCTGCCGTCCACGTTAGGCTTGATTGTGTCACTGCCTGGCTTCCAGCCAGCGGGACAGACTGTGGGAAGACACAGGGATGCACATGTGATGCTAGAGCCACATCTTCGAGGCAGGGCAGTATGAGGGGATGAACAGAGGCAAAGCAAGAGCTGGAGTGGCAGAAGAAAAAGCCCAGAGCCGAGTGGTACAGCCCCAAGGCCGTACAGCACACTGGGAGAAGCTCTTTAAGCCCGGATACAGGATGTTCTGGCTGACAATTCAATTTCTTTTTGACCTCCCCTACACTTTTTTCTTTTCCTTTTTTTTTTTTTTAAAGATTTTATTTATTTGACAGAGAGAGAGAAATCACAAATAGGCAGAGAGGCAGGCAGAGAGAGAGGGGAAGAAGAGGGAGGAAGCAGGCTCCCTGCGGAGCAGAGAGTCCGATGGATGTGGGGCTCTCATCCCAGGACCCTGGGATCATGACCTGAGCTGAAGGCAGAGGCTTTAACCCATTGAGCCACCCAGGTGCCCCCCCACACTGTTTTTTAAAGATTTATTTATTAGAGAGAGACAATGCATGAGAGTGCGGGGGGGGGGGGGGGGAATGGGGGGGGGGGGGGAATTGAGAATCCTCTAGCAGGCTCCCTGCTGAGTGTGGAGCCTGACAAGGGGCTGGATCCCAGGACCCTGAGACCATGACCTGAGCCGAAACCAAGAGTCAGACACTTAACTGAGCCACCCCGCCACCCCTCTTTTTGACCCCTTTAATACTGCTTCTCCCTCAGTCACAGACCCACTGGACATGGAGGGCCTGGGATCAGGCTGTGTCCTGCACATGAGAAGGTCTCTGATTTGACTAGTATTATTCCAGCTCGACCTGGTACATACCTTCTCAGATACCTTCGATAGATCTGTTACCTCCCAGCCCCCACCGTCATATTGGGGTGTCTCCCCCTCCAGACTAGACAAGTCCTGCAGACAAGGTTCTGAAATGGGTCCCTCACAACTGACAGGGCAGGCAGGCAGTGTCTGCCTGAGGGCTGAGGGTGTACCCACATATGAACACAGGTGAACATGTGTCTGCTTACCTTCCCCATGCTCATCCGTGTACTGTAAGGCCTGAACCAGCCGCAGAACTTCATCCACAGAGCGCCCCACAGGCAAATCATTGACAGTGATCTGGCGAAGGACACCCTTGCCATCGATGATAAAGAGGCCCCTGAAGATATCAGGGTTCATGGTGAGGAGCTGAGAGTTCCCACTGCCAGGGCCAGGGGGGAGGGAGTATGGACTCCCTAGCGGCCACAGGGCTGGGGGCAGGAAAGACAGTGCCCAAGCGTTGTCCCCTCACCCTGAGGACTGAGGGCTTTCTGGGGGCTCCACAGTACCTGTAGGCAATGCCCTCATCCTTCTTCAGCACACCATAATCTTCAGATAAATTTCTGGTTACATCAGCCAGCAGAGGAATATTCAGGGGGCCCAAGCCTCCTTCCTTCCTAGGAGTGTTGATCCTAGGGGTGAAAGAGACCGGTCTGGGACCTCCAGATGTCTGACACAGCAGGGTCCTCCCCCTGGGGCTCTGGGTATGATAAAGGCTGGAGAGGGGGTGCTGGAGCTGAGAGATAAGGGTGTAGCCTCCCCACCCACCGCACCCTGAGAGGGTACAGGGGCTCTTTCCCACAGCTGGGAAGACTCAGCCAAGGCTCCAGGTCCAGCAAAGGGCATTTACATTCGCTGGTGGCCTCCCACATCTTGGGGCAGAAAGCCTGCCTCAGCATCCCCCTCCTCCTCACTCTAGCTCTGTTCGCTGGGGCCCAGCCCTTCACTGTCTAGAACTGGAGTTTCCACCTTCTTGAAATAGTTATTGGAAGGGAGGTTGTGTTGCCCTAAGTGAGATAAAGCATCTCCAAGTCTCTGGGCCGAGCAACTAGTTTTCAGATGCTAATTACTGCCATCATCATTAAGGACTTAGGCGTCCTTAATTCTACTATTTTCAAGATGGGGGAAAGGGAGGCCCAAATGTTGGGCAACACCCACAGGAACACACAGCTCGGACCCCCGGAGGATGGACGCTTGGCTGCATCCCCCCTCCCTGCCCGTCCCAGCTCATACCAAGCCAGGTGGGTGAACTGAGAGTCGACAGAAACCCCCAGCACCTCACAGCCCAGCTTGCGGAAGTCCTCCGCCCGCTCGCTGAAAGCGATGATCTCCGTGGGGCAGACAAAGGTGAAGTCCAGCGGGTAGAAAAAGAGGACCAGGTATTTCCCTGCGGGAGGGAGTGGGGATAGACAAGGAGTTAGGCCTCTGCTCTCTGGGCCCCACCCCCACCTGGGCCCACTCCCGGCCGCCCTCACCTTTGTAGTCGCAAAGCTTCACCTCCTTGAAGGCGCCGTCCACCACGGCGGTGGCCTGGAAGGGCGGGGCGGGCTTTCCGATGTACGCCTTGCCAGAGGCCATGACTGAAAGCTGAGAACCCCCCCGGCCCGGTCAGTGCACCCGGGGAAGACCCTTTGTACTCCCTTCCCAAGGTCACGCTGCGTGCTGGGCTCCGTTATCCAAAGAGAGGCAGAAGCTGCAGCACTACCCACACCCTCCGGGGTACCTGGCCTGCGCGGCCTTAAAACCGCAGGAGACCCGCCCCCCTGACCAGCAAAAGCGGCCCGGCTGCAGCCGCCAGGGGCCCTCCCATTAGCGTGTCGGCCTGAGCGCCCTGGCGCTAGCCCACCGCTCCAGGTGGAGACCCCGCGAGCAGGGGGCGGGAGCTCGGCGATGCGGCCTGTACTGCAAGGCCAAGGCCTTAGCTTCCCCCTGCAAGGACAAAGGCGGCCACTAAAGCGACCGGAAAACAAAAGCTGCAGCATTGAGGTCTGGACCCGGCCGGAGCTGCTCTGCGGGGGCTCCCCAGAGCCCGGTGCCCTCCAGGTATCCATACCTGCGTGGGCAAGGGCGGCACGCACAGACTAGCAGACGCGCGAACACGCGTTCTCAGCACCGAGTGCGCCCTGGGCCTGGGTGCTTTTTATGCGCGGCCCGAACCATGACGCATAGGGCGGGGGGGTGTGGGCGGACGAGTGGAGCGGTCGGGTCCACTGCAACCGCGGGAGGGGGGTTGGGGAGCGAAGCGGCCGGGTCCACGCGCCGGCAAGCGGCGGGAGGAGTCGCGGGGCCGTGGGCCCCGACCACTGCCACCGCTGATGGGGGTAGTGCGGGCACCACATACCCCGCGAGGAGCTCCTCGGAGCGCGCCCGAGTCGGTTGGAGTCCGGCATGGCCGGGAGCCCGACTGACTTACTACTGCCGCTTCTGATTCTCCTGCTGCTGGGGACCCCTGCCCAGGTCTCCCGCGACTACCATTACTTTGGCGAGAAGAGCGGAGGCGACACCTGGGAGGAGCTGCGGCTGCAGCATCAGGAGAAAGGTAACCGCACGCCGCGGGTGTGATGGTGCGGAAAGGTGCCCCATTGCCCCACTTTGCCAGCTGGCTGCAAAGAGACCCTCCTTCAGGGAATTCCCATCTCTCCCCATCTGCGCACTGGCGTACCACCCTCCCTCCCCCCGCCCTTGGGCTGGTTACTTTTCTCTGAGGCTCAGTGTCCTTATCTGTAAATTGAAACAGAGACTGACTTGAAGCCTCTTAAGGGGAAGAGGGGACATGGGTAGGCAATAATTCCCAAGCAGACACAACCGTAAACTCAGGGATGTGTGCTAGGAAGGGTGGAGATAGAGAAAGGAGGGGGAAGGTAAACGTCTGAAATCAGAGAAGGGCCGACTGAAGAGGATGGCTAACCAGTGCAGCGGGAAGCCAGCAAAAGCCAAGAATGCAAAGATTTAGGGGGAAGAATGTGCCAGGGAATGGGAACAGCAAGTGCCAAAGCCAAAGGGCTGGACGGAGGAAAAGAAAGAGGCCAGTGTTGTCTGCTGAGGCTTGGTAAGGCGAGAAGTGTTCGGACTTTGTGAGCTGCAGAGTTGGGATAAGACCTGTTTCCTAGTGGTATAGGGAGGTGTCCATAAAAGAGCATTGTAAAGAGCCCCTCCCATAAACACTCAGAAGGTTGTAGCTGCTTGAAAAGTGGTCATAATAGTTGTTTTTGTGCTACATACTAG